TGTTGTTGTAATACTGCCTTTCGTTTTGTTCTCTGGTTTTAGATGATATTGCAGTCGCTTCAAACGTAACAGAAACATCATACTATTTTGTTTTTCATTTTTGAAAACCACTGATATCTGTGATTTTGTTAATACATAGTGAAAATGACTTATCCTCTTTCATTCTGAAATCACCACATTTTATTTATTAGACCAATAAAAATCTCACCAGTCGCTATAAAAAAAAACATAAACAAGTATTCTCGTTACAGTGGGATTTCGTATATGTTATTTGAAAAGTTTTATTTTATATGCTGAAAAAATACCAAAAACGAGATTAAAATAGAATCCACCTATTCGTTACTTAAGTTACCTGATAGTGTGCTCAATAAAGTTATCCATTCAGGGACAGTCGAACTTGCAGATGTACATCGAAAAAGTAAATTCAGGTTACCTATTTTTGTTCGACTAGATATCACTGGTTTACTGGAAAATGATAATATAAGTTTAGGTGCATGAAGTGTCCTTAGCCATTCTATTATCATCATTCTAGCCATCATCATCGCTAACCACTATCCTATTGAATTTCAGTCATAAGAATAATCATTTCTTACGAGTGGTCCTTATCTACAACTTATTTATCGCTGGATACATCTACTGTTTTAGGAAAGTTCTCGGATAGTTTATTTCTGTCTGTATGTTATTAACAAAATCCAACTCCCTATATATGATACTCTCTGAGTAGATATTTTCAGCTTTGCTTATAAGACATCTGACCAGATTTATATTGTAGAATTGATGATTAAGGAGAACTATTCTTTTCTCAATCTCGAATAAAAGTACAACACCTTGCGTTTTCAGACATTTTCCCCCGTCCATTTAGAGTTTGAATGTTGAATATATGAGCATAGTTTTCATCGGGTTTTCATTTCAAAACCATCTAACGCTATCTATATTTGTCATAAGTATAAACCAAATCGTTCGATAGAATGTCAGGTATCAACATGAAGTTGTTTTGATAACTGTTTCAGTGAGATCTCCACTATCAAATCTTCAAACAGCATTCATCTGAAAAAAGCTCATGCAAAGAACGACTTCTCAGAAATAATATTACATTCTAGTTTGATAACTCGTGTTATAATAATATCGATCCAATGTAACTCATGATATATCAATATCTTTGCATTAAAGTAAATGTGATTTCCTCCTGAGTGGTCGTAAGAAATTTTTTAACCTCCGTATGTGTTTTCAGTATAGTTTGAAAGAGAATTAAACACTCACTGTCACAACTATACGCTTTACCACTGTACCCTAAATTCTGTTCAACTTGTCCAACCTGAAAATTAAATCATACAAATTTCTGTAACACCTATAAAACAATATCTCTTTGAGAATACTTTAAACTATATCTCCCAGTTAAGACAGTCAATATAGATACCCAAAAATAGTAGCTAAATTATCATCTCTCTCTTTATACTAATACAAAAGATTTAACTATACATTTTACCAGTTTAGTGGTTGTAGAGATTGTTAAGCTTTTGATTGAGATCATGAACCGATTGATGTTACATTTTACAATCAAGTAAAGAAATAATAATTATTATGATCATTAAAGATGACTGACATAATTTCTTCCACTTCCATTATTTGCAACACAAATGTAGTTCATTTAATAAAGTCTCTTAGCTTACAACACACGCTATTATCCAATTTGTTCTACTCTTTTGAGATCTCGTCAACAACTTTTTTTGTAATCATATTATTTATTGTAAACATTTTAAATAGACGCGCAAAAATATAATAAAAATCAATAATATATATTGATTAATTAAATGATTGACATAAATTGAAAATGAGTACATTGATTCAATGTTTTAAATGATGAATGAATGAATGAATGAAAATTTTACATAAATCATGTTTTTATTGTTGTTTATTTACGTCCAATATTATGGCTGCCAATTTTTTTTAAAAAATGATTCCGTCTAGTATTTATCTTTCTATCATTTAAAGCCTTGTAACTAATTGAGGGAACAAAAATATTTCGAATTTAATTCGATTGTTACTTACTTACGCCTGTTACTCCCAATGGAGCATAGGCCGCTGACCAACATTCTCCAACCCACTCTGTCCTCCGCCTTCTTTTCTAGTTCCATCCAATTCTTGTTCATTTTTCTCATGTCTATTTCCATTTCCCGGCGTAATGTGTTCTTTGGTCTTCCGCTTTTCCTTTGGCCTTCAGGATTCCATGTGAGGGCTTGTCTTGTGACGTAGTTGGGTGCTTTCCTTAATGTGTCCTACCCACTTCCAGCACTTCTTCCTGATTTCTTCCTCCACTGGGATCTGGTTTGTTCTCTCCCACAGTACGTTGTTGCCAATAGTGTCCGGCCAACGGATCTGAAGTATTTTGCGTAGACAATTGTTAATAAACACCTGTATTTTCTGGATGATGGCTTTTGTAGTTCTCCAGGTTTCTGCCCCATACAGTAGAACCGTCTTGACATTTGTATTGAAAATACTGACCTTGGTGTTGGTTGACAGTTGTTTTGAGTTCCAGATATTCTTCAGTTGTAAATATGCTGCTCTTGCTTTACCGATCCGCGCTTTCACATCTGCATCAGACCCACCATGTTCATCAATGATGCTGCCCAAATACGTAAAGGTTTTTACATCTTCCAAATCTTCTCCGTCAATTGTGATTGGATTGGTGCATTCTGTGTTGTATCGTAGAATACTGCTTTTCCCTTTGTGTATATTGAGACCTATTGCTGCTGAGGCTGCTGCCACACTGTTCGTCTTCTCCTGCATCTGTTGTTGCGTTTGGGATAGAAGCGCCAGATCATCTGCGAAGTCTGGATCGTCCAACTGCATCCTAGATGTCCATTGTATCCCGCGCTTCCCTTCAGACGTCGACGTCCTCATGATCCAGTCGATCACCAGGAGAAAGAGAAAGGGTGAGAGTAAGCAACCTTGCCTAACACCGGTCTTCACTTCGAACGACTTTGTCAACTGTCCTCCATGCACGATTTTGCAGTGTAATCCATCATATGAGTTCTGTATGATATTGACTATCTTCTGAGGCACGCCGTAGTGTCGAAGAAGTTTCCATAGTGTTGATATATAAGTTACTTTTAAATACTGAAACCCATTCAACTATTCTCTAGACTAGTGTACTGAATCATGACTGCCAACATCTTATTCAACAGATATACTATTTATTATTAGTCATAAGAGTCTTTATTTTCCCTCTATTGACTATCAGGACTGTATTTGATTAACCTTCGTTAATATACATGCTCATTGATGCGATGCGATGCAATTCAGTTGATGTGTCCTGTCTGAACAGCATAAAATACATGTCCTGGATCCCACTATATACACCATTGTTTTTTAAATATCAATAAATTTTTTAATTTAATAAATACTTCGCAGAAAGTACATACATGCTATTTGTTTGGATCTCTATCAGACAAATATATTTATCTACTTGGGTAGTTTCTGAAGAAAAAAAAAGCAAATTTTGAGAAGATTCCTAATTTGCTAACTGGTGTAAGTGGAAGGAAAACTGACTAATATAGATTTGTAGTAGTGAAATGGTTAAACTACGTTGGAATAAATGTTTTGATATAGCAATATTTACTTCCTCATTACAGACGGAGTTTTGGCCATTACATGCTTCGATATGTTTTGGGAGTCCTCACCTGGATGCATTTGAATATTAGTGAGAAGACGGGTTTCCATAGAAGGATAAAAACACCTATCCTGGCTTCTACTGCTTATCAATATCTAGAATCTTATCAAATAACTAACAAATGAAAGTTGACGATTTTCATTCATTGAATTACAACTAAATTGGCAACAGAAACTCCACTTATAACAAGTTCAGGAGAATCAACACCAACTTCACAAGGCCAGATATTTTTTCCAAAGTTTAAAAAAGTGAAAAATCTATAAAGTTCTTTTTGGATTTTAGTTATGGATAGATAAGATAACTGTATAACGATAATATGTTGATATTAAGTAAACCATTGCACTGCCTATCTGAGGATTCCTTCCTTTAAAATTATAGTTCATCGCAAAATAAGCTTGATAGTTATGAATGAAAACTGAAATAACGTATAGTGAATTTGAATCAAGGAACTAAATATAGATTGCACCATACATTTTAATGAGACAATTAAAATCCCTGAACCTAATTCATATTTACTGGAATTCATTGCCATAACATACTTTCGAACAAAAACCTGTGTGTATATCATTAATTGTTACAACCATAGAATGACTAATCACAATCTAATTCAATGACAACCCACATAACTTGATAGAATTATCAGATTATTCGATTGACAATACTTAGGTATGATTCAAACGTTCAACATCTTTTGTGTAGAGTTCGGGATAAACTAAACTGATTTTCATCTAATGTAACTTTATCTGTCAATGGATAAGTGACCTATGCACTGTACATTTACGTAACGTACTTTTATGAATGAAAAGGTTTGGTAGCGAACGTAACTGCAATCACAGACACCAAATATACTAAAGATTGGTCTAATTTACTACAAACATTGGAATGAAGAGTTCAGCTAACAGACAAATATTAACCTAATCAAGATATCCACTACATGTTTCACTAAAAGTATCATGCACTCCACCTGAACACTACAATCACATTCATTTTGTGATTTTGTATCACGATTTTCAGGTATGAAAAATAAATGATCCGCCCACAAAATAATTAACCAATAACTGAAATGCATATTTTTAAGCTAGATCATATGACCTTGACCACTTCAAGGACAAATATTCACGTAATTGACACGCCCTAAATGCGTGACTGACAGCTGACTCAATTTTGATTGGCTAAATTAATTCATATTTAATATCCTTAGTTAGTCTATCCATTGGTCAGTTTAATTTCATATGCAAGGGATGGGGCGTGCCAACTGATAAATAAACGTGGTTATGAGTTTGCATCAGTTCATCTAAAATACCACGCGAACTCTAGTCTTACTCATAATATGGGTATAGCCTACGAGTCTATATGCCTACCTGGTGCGACAGTGGATTCCGGATTCGATAAAGTTAGTTTTAAACTATTTCAAACAACATTGTATATTTGCTATAGTATTTATCTTTTTTTTTACTAATTATGCGAGGTTTGTTTTACAGATTAATGAATTGCAAGCTGCTGAAGTTTTACTATCACTGGCCAAAGGTTCATGCTCGAACTGGTCAATATTTCCACAAAATAAATCATCAGTAACCCAAAATTTTTATTGTTCCGAATATCATCGAAATATGTTTAAAGAGTCAGTTATACAAAAAACAGGAGAAAATGAACCAAGGAGTAAATCTCAATCCTACTTAACATCATTAGATAGAAATTTACATCGGAATATAAAATTTAAACTTCATCGGATTAAATCTTTAACTAATAAGGAATCACAATCATCAATTAATTTCGATAAATTGCAAAAGTTCCGGAAACTATTCCTCATCAAAATGTCAGTTCATTTAGCCCTATCATGAATACACCTAATTACAAGTGAGTTATATTATGTATTAGTATTTTTGTTATTATGAATAATATTTTAAGAATGAAACCTTAGAAGATGAAGTTGAACTTTTACGGGGTCTGAAGCGTCATTAATATAGCCTAATACTTCTAGTTAGTCTTTAGACTTGGATTTTATCATAGGTAGTATATATATACTGACCTCTCACCGCTTGAAAATGTTAGGTTAATGATGACATCATTGAAAAGTTTGGAAGAATCTCTTTCTATTGTTGATATAAGCTGTTTAAACACAATTTTATTTAGCTCTAAATCATAGAACAACAGTAAATCTATTCATGGAGGGATTATAATTTGTTGACAGGAACCAATCAAGTCTAATGTTGCGCATATTGAATCCATTCATTCACATGAATGGATGTTATTCATTTTTGGCATTGTAGTGGATATCAGAATATAGTGAAAACCCAAAAGCCTAATTTTGATTCCTCTTGCTAATTTTTAACCCTATTTCGAACTTAGTAAATTGTTCAAGTTTCTTATGGTCACTTTAATATCGCTCAAATGTTGTCCGTATACACCATTCTCACCGGTTGTGTTTTTGCTAAGAACCTATTATTTACATTTCAATTTGGAGAAACGTTTTACTCAATTAGTGTGTGTCAACTAATTAAGGAACTTAAATTGTTTCAAAGTTAAATTTTCCATTTTTTACTACAGACCACATTTACACAAGAGCCTACTGAAATCTACCTCTAAAGTTTATTACAATACTTGGTGCACTCTATGAAAACTAATTTTTTACAACTTATTTACATATTCTCAATTAAAATATCTCTCCCAAGGTATTTCTTATTTTGTAATGATTTAATTGGTTGGGGATAAACTCCACGTTACCAAGTCATCTAAGTGTATCGTAGTCAGTAATTACGGTTATGTTTTCGTTAATTTAGTCACTCAATTGTAGATATTTTGGAATCATTTCTATTATAGAATTAGTTGGACGTATGACTTTTGCCAAGTTGTAATTTTTCTTCCATCATTACTGACTGCCCTACATTTGACACGTCCATAGCCTGATGGAGTGGTACTTTTGTCATAGAAAACTATATTTTCCATGTAAGCCAGCATAAAGGACAGAGAACGAAATACGCCCTCCATCACTGATTATGATAGTGGAAATAATAATTCCCGATTCATTTTGGTTGGTTGTTAGGTGCAAGGTCGAAATTGAGAACAAGAGTGGAATCTATCCTCACCCGTTAATTGCTTCCATTAGAAGTAGACTATACCGCCGACCTTGGACGGCCCATCAACCAATCAGAAGACAGTATCTGGTTGTAAAGCAAAGTGATTAAAATACAGTGGCTAAACTGTTTTGTCATGAATGATGTGATGTCGTTACACGCTGAATTATTTATTAAATTAAATGAGAAAGAGTTATGTATACGAATAAGGCCTATAAGTTATGGTTAAGATTAATAATTACGGTAAGCGTACCCATTGATCAGTGTAAAACTACAAGTAATTTCTCGTCTAAATCTAAAGAATCACTGAATTTCGTCCCTCGAGTTCTCTATTTTTTTCATGTTGGTGTGTGTAAAGAATATGGACGACTTGAAACTATATTTTAGCCAGCGAGAATACAAATTCTAGTTATTAAATTACTTATAAAAAAAGTAATATGTTGCACATATTTTATATGAATAATGAAGACTTATGTATGAATTGTTAGGGTTTTTATCACGAACTAAAATCAGCTATAGTGTAAAGATAAATTTCGGACCGAAATTTGATTAGTTCGTCCCGGTACTTTACTTCTGCCATCATGTTTACCAGAACTAGGCGTATCAGTAGCTAAACATTAGTAAATTATACTCCTTCTGTACTTAAGTTAGTTTAAAGCTATCCTTCAGGCTCTTAGAATTTCCCTCAAAATAACAAAGCCACTAAGTCAGATAGGTTTGGAAGTATATTCTACCTGTTTATCTGAGTACTACAGAATTTTTAATATTGACTTTAATAGAAATCCATAGTTCTTATTCTTCAATTTTACTTATTATTCTTGAGCCGACTTCTGTATGTTTTCAAAAGATATTAAATCACGAACCGATCTTAGTTAGGCCATCGTTGAAAACCTAGAAGCACCAGACAAACTTTTCGTCTAGCTATACGATATTTCAGTAGTGTGCCTCCACATCCCTGGATCCGGAATCGAAACCACAACCTTCTGTCTCGCGCGCGAATGCTTAACTTCTAGACTATAAGGCTTCCATCCAACGCCGTTATTGTTTGACTCCGATCTCATCACGATAGTACGCTACCATCTTCCATTGCTTGTGGTGAATAACTGTCCCACATTCGACACGACTGAACTCCACTGGTCATGGTTTCTCAGTAGAACCTCAGGAAATCCATCTAGAAGCCAATCACTTTTGGGGATGTGGTTATTATCAGTATAGGGTTTTGTGAAGACTAGAATCTTCATAGATTTTAAATCATCAACTGATTTCTATGTTTGGCTTTTTAGTATTACTGTTAATATTATGATTTAAACCGTTTTATTTCTACTACTTTATCTCCAATTATTTCAGCTTATTCAAGCTTACGTTTGTTTTTTACTGATTAACTAACTGGCTATTGGTCTGAAAATAAATTGTAATCCATTGAATTGTTAGGGTAGATTCTATGTAATAAAGAGATAGAACTCTGATTTAATTTGTAGTAGTTTGGATTGTTCCGTTGTTGGTGTTTTGACTTGAATTTGATCAACCTTAGTTAGCATACGTGCATCCTGTGCAGATTGCTTCATTATAGCCATCATGGTATAGGTTTACGTAGAATGGATGAACTGTAGCCAGCAGTGGAATCTAGGACTTATGTTTCGTCCTGTTTGCGACTCGTCAGATCGATGTACCTGCATCCTGGATCCTAGTCTGATACCCTTCGCTCGAAACCCCAACGCATTATCCACTTAGATTCTGAGTCTTAAACACTGTAGGTGATTGACTATCTGCAGCGAATGGTTCCGGGTTCAAATCTCGGAGTAGACATAAACTCTGGGACGCGAGTGCATCCAGATGACGAATCCCGAAATAGGACAACACATACTTCCCTAATTCCACTGTTGACCACACTCTATCTATTCTATGTAGAGAAAACTCTTGTTATACCTTGCTGTTGAATCTCTATCATGAGTTACTGACCCTGTTGTAAACCCTCTTACACTTGTTACCCCTCGTGGAGAAGCATAGGTCGCCCACTAGCACTCTCCATCCAACCCTGTTCTGAGCAATCCTTTTCTTATATGCTTCTAATTCTCTGCGTAGTGTGTCCCTTGACCTTTCTCTTTTCTGTTTGCCATCAGGATTCTAAGTTGGCGCTCGCTTCGTGATGCGGTTTGATGATTTCCTCAATGTGTATCCTATCCACTTCCAACGTCTTTTCCTAATTTTCTCCTCAGCTGGAAGCTAGTTTCTTCTCTCCCATAGTAGACTGTTGCTCATGGTATTCGGCCAAAAATCATTGAGTATCGTGCGTAGACAATTGTTTATAAATACTTGTGCCTTTTTGATGATGGTTGTAGTAGTTCTCCACGTTTCAGCTGCGTAAAGTAGAAATCACTGTCTTGACGTTCGTATTGAAGATTGTGACTTTTATATTGATTGAGAGTGGTTTTGAGTTGTATATGTTCTTCAATTGTAGGAATGCGGCCCTTGCTTTGCCAATCTTCGCTTTTACATCTGCATCAGATCCTCCACGTCCATCGATGATGCTACCTAGATACGTGAAACTTTCCACCTCTTCCAGAGTTTCGCCATCAGTGTGATTGCGTTGGTGTTCTCTGTGTTGTATTTGAAGATCTAGCTTTTTATTGAGGCCTACTGATGCAGAGGCTGTAGCTACACTAGTTGTCTTCATCTGCATTGGTTGGTTTGTATAGGATAGTAGAGCCAGGTCATCTGCGAAGTCCAAATCATCTAATCGATCAACAGCTATCCATTGTATTCCGTGTTTCCCCTGAGACGTGGAGGTCTTCATAATCCAGTCAACAATCAGAAGAAAGATGAGGGCGGAGAGTAGTCAGCCTTGTCTGACTCCGGTCTTTACTTAGAATGCATATGTCAGCCGGCCTTCATGTCCGGCCGCTCAGTATATTCCATCTTATGACGTTGGCGATCTTCTCGGGTACACTCAATTGTCGGAAACTCCATAAAGTTCTCCTATCCACACTGTCAAACGCCTTCACACAGTCAGTGAAGTTGATGTATAGTGACGACCTCCATTCAGTTGATTGCGTAACAATGATACATAGTATCGCGCATTGGTATATGCACGACCGATCTGTTCGAAATCTGAACTGTCAATCTGGAAGCTTGGCACCTACCATGTCTTTCCTGTGGTTAAACAACACTCTGTTGAAAACGTTTTCTGATACTGATAGCAGTGTGATGCCTATGCAACTCTCACACTCGCTTAGATCTCACTTTTCGTTCTTTCCAGTCTGTCAGTACTTGTTCATCCCCCTTAATCTTCCTGAATAGTGTGAAGCATATTTGCAGTTGTTTCCATGTCTGACTTCAGCTGATATATTGTCAGGTCCTGCTGCTTTCCCACTGTTGATTTGTCTGATGGCCATCCTGATTTCTTCGACCGTTGGTGGAGTGACGTTTATGTGATATTCTGTGTGTGTTGTTTCGATATCCGGTGGATTCAATGTAGCTGGTCTATTCAAGATTTCCTTAAACTATTCTACCCATCTGTTCCTCTGTTCTTGAACCTCGGTGATTGTCTTGCCTTCTTTGTCCTTGACCGTTCTCTCTGGTTTACCATATTTCCCTACTAGTTTGTTCGTTGCTGTCTTATATTTCCTTCTCTTGGTGCTTTTTCTTCGTATTTCTACTTGTCGGCTTTAATGCTCCTCTTCACACTTGTTTGTTTCTGTGTATTCGGGTTGTATCATGGCTTTCTCTACCCTTATTGAACTGTTGTTAATTGTTGTCTTCTTATTCTTTCTTTCTTGAATCTTGTCGAGGGTTTCCATAGAGATCCATTCGTCATGATGATGCTTCTTGAGACCCAGAACCTCTTGACACTTTGAAGTTAATGCTTCTTTGATACCTTTCCAGTTGTCCTCCATAGTAGTTTCTTCTTCATTCAGTAGATCCTGCAAGGCTTGGAACCTGTTGTTGAGAGCTATATTGTATTCGTTGAATTTGTTAGTACCTCGAAGGAAATCTGTATTGAACCTTTGTAGTGCTGTTTGTCCAGTTGTCCAGTTTTTCTTTAGCTTCAGTTTTAAATTGCCCACAACTAGGTGGTGATCTGAAGCTACGTCAATTCCTCTCTTGGTTCTCACATCTTCCATTGTCCTTCGGAACTTCTTATTGATGAAATATGATCCATCTTTTTGTCTGTGGTCTTGTCCGGTGAGATCCATGTGGCTTTGTGTATAAGTTTGCATGGGAATATTGTGCCGCCTATAACCAATTTGTTGAATGCACATAGATTTGCGAACCTCTCACCATTCTCATTTCTCTCTCCCATTCCATGTCGTCCCATGATATCCTCATATCCGGTGTTGTATATTCCGACTTTGGCGGTTAGGTCTCCCATCAGTATGTTCAGGTCCTTTCCTGGACAGTTCTCTACGATCGACTGCAGCCTCTCATAAAACTGATCTTCATCGTCGTTATTGATATTATCGGCAGGCACATAACAGTGGAGAATATTCATTGTGATTCCCTCCTTCGTTTTGGAGAATGTTTTAATGAATCTGGATCAATGAAATTCTCGTCCTATAAGTGCATTTCGTGCTTTTTTGGACAGCATCAGAGCGACTACCTGAGTGTATGACCGGAGTACAACAGCATGTTTCCCGTATCTAGCCTTTGCTGTCCAAATTGAGTCCAATGGGTTTCACTGATTCCCACTACTGCCAATTTGTATCTCCTCATTTCCGTTGCTATTTGACTGGTCCTCCCGGTCTCCGACATAGTCCGGACGTTCCGTGTATCTATATTAATTGTTGCTCTGGTTGTTAGAAGGTATATCGACCTCGTGACTTCCGAAGAATCTTGTCTTTCACCCAGAGACAATAATAATTCTTCCTTCAACTCGTAGAACAGAGTTTAAATGGTTTATCCTGGTTGGTGTTTTTAAACAAGATTATTTTCTACGGGATGGGGTTGCCGACCCTCCTCTTTTACCTGGACTTGCGACTGGCAGTAACTCTAGAAGAGCAACAGGTGGAGTGGCAAACCTTCTACTTTTTAAAATTATTAATGCTCTTCAGTTAGACGAAATCTTAAATATCTGTTTACCAATAGAACTTTTGAACATTGTGTTATAATATGCAATTAAATTTCAACAGTCAATTTTTTCTTCATTCAACCCATTGGTAGTCATTATCATTTTAAATAATAATCGAATATAACTGTATATACTTCAATGTTTATGTATTTTCCCTTGAACTTTTATAAAATACTCTTAGATATCAAATCCTTCTTTAGAAACATCAAGCAATGAACAGGTATCTTTTTACAATAATCAATCTTCTTTGAATAATTTAAACACTAATTGGTCAAATAATCTACCTATTAACACTGGTGAATCTCACCTTCTAATTAAGTCATTTCAACAAATCGATGAAAATCCTTCTGATTCTAAGCATATTCCATTGACTAGTCAAACAAATCAATGTACTACTGATCAACAATCTGATAACCGAGTTACTTTTACTCTTTGGAATGATTGTGAACTTTCTTCTACAGCTTCTAATTCTTTCAACTGTGAAAATGATAATCACAAAAGTGTTGAACAACAATACATTTTGGATCGATTACTTCATACCAACTCTGATCTTACAACATTACTGCATTCATCATTATCATCATCAACGACAACAAATGATACATTTCGATCATCTAATTCAGATTCACAGCTTTTACGGTATGATTTAAATGATTTCCTCAGTGTACACTAACTTATTATTATGATCAAATGGTTGGTAGACAACCTATCGATGAAACAATAACATCAGTAAGTTTTTTTACGTCTTTCTTCTTTCTTTTTTCCTATGAGAAATGATAATTCCTAAACGTTTTTAGGAAGCGTTGATAAGGTTAAAGGAAAATCAAGTTTTTGACTAGAATTTAAACTATTAATATCATACAAAACTTGATGGATATTGGGTTCAAATCTGCATAAATTAAGGAGTATGTAATTATTAGCAGGATAGATTTCTATCTATATCTGGTTAGCCTCAAATCGGAATACGTTAACTGGTTCATTTTCAAATCAATCATCCCTAGTAGACTAACCATGATGTGATACGTTTCTATATAAACTGTAATTAATTAACTATTGTATCTTTGTCACCTGGGTTATTGGAATAAATTTTATCAGCTTTTAATTCTCATGTTAATTTGCGTAAAGTTCAGTTAATTTTTGTGTTCAAGAAATGCATGTTAGTAGAAAAACATAATCGGTATAGTAAAAGGTTTTTAAATAAAACCATAACAACAGTTCAATACTTATTTGATCTTCATTTGATAATCAGCACTATCCTCGGACCGACTGCTTTAGTTTCCTAACAGCTAAGCAGTTATAAATTAAACTCTAAAGCAATTTTAGACTTCAATTATCCAATGTGTAAATATTAGTCTTCAAATCATGACTATTTACCCACTTTTTCATACTAAAATTGATTTCATCCAATATATCCTGTGTATAATAAACATAGTACTTTGAGCTACTATCAATATTTTATCAGTATTCAGCACATCAGTGAATTAATTCAGTTGATGTGGACAACACTACTTCAACTAGTCGATGAATTTTTTCCTTTACGTACATTTCGATATGACTCTTCTACATTTCTTCACTTGATATTCCAATTATTTAATCTGAGCGCTTGAAATTTGTAGTATTTCAAGTTGTGATCTACATGGTTGTAATTGTTTGTCATTTGTATCTCATCATCACTCCTATTTAGACCATTTACGTAATCAGTGTATTTGTGACACTACTACTACTACATAATAAGTAGTATACGCTCCCTATCATAAAAGTGTATGGAATGGAGATATTATTTTATAACTTTAAATAAATGCACCCAGCGTTTAATTCAGTATCGAAACTGCCGTAATGTCAGCTATGTTGAGGCTTGATTGATGTAAGGGTTTACGTTCAAAATAACTTGAAAACAATGAAAAATATATTAGTTAGATGTTATTAAGGATGATAATGATGGTAATGTAACTGTTCAGACAACAAATAAGTAGTATCTATCACCATTCACCGTCATGTGGTCAAGCCGGCCCACTAAACTATTGACTTACTTTTGTGGTTCATTCGTTCGTATACAGTAAATAGGTGTTTCTAAAGTTACAAATAATCATGGGAAGTTTTAAGCTTTTACGAAATACGCTGAAATTGGTAATCGAATTAATAAATTCTTTATTCTGAAAATAAATTACAGAATGCATATCGATTTACAACCACGATCAGGTTGATATAGACAACAATGTTACATGTCAAGGACAGATAAATGAATTTAGATTGTTTAAGATACAGTTGTACGTTCTTTACATTGAGGCATCAATTGGGAATCATTAATTCTTTCTAGAGGAACGTTTTGATGATATATGAATAGTGTATCTAATCTCATTCCCGGTGCTATTGTAGGGTAATTGTAATCATCTAAAACTTGGGTAAGGAAAGCGGAATCAGAGAGCATAGAACAATAACAAAGATAATTGCTATGATAGGTCTACTATTATACATGTGTACCAGGATGTTTTATGATCTACTGTTCAGGATAATTATTAATTAAATTAGTTAAGTTTGTTAAAAACAATTTAAGTGTAAAATATCTTCATGTAGAAAAGTTAATGAGTGAGTACAATAATAATAATAACGATAAAACATTTAATGTTCCTATGATTTCACTAATAAAACGCAATATATTTAAAGATGTAAGCACGTTTAAGGCAGTTTAAGAGGAGCAACAAACATTGACATAAAAAAAAACAAATGATTTAGAGTAATTTTATTTCATGATCAGATTGTGGTAAATTATTCCAGAGTCTCAAACGTTCAGCGGTAAAAGAATTCATATTGAAATATTCCTAATAAAACTGTTTCATACACGATAAAGATTTTCGGATGCACTAGTGGACGTAAAAGATAATAAATTAAATAGCTTGAAGATAAATATAAGATTTCCACTTCTAGAAAATGTTGAGTCCAAGTTTATTCCATCTGAATATTTAGTTTAAGGTACAATCACTTCCAGGAATCGAAATCTCAGATTGGCTTTGAACTAAATCCAACTTTAATTTATCTTTTATACAAACACTTAGGAATAAAAGTTCAGTATTCTATAATTAGTCGGACATATACTTTGTACATTAAATTACGTAATCAGTTATTATTTATGTTACGAATTATGGAACGCAGAAGTCGTTGAGACTCGGAAGTCTGCTTAGTGGTCTGTTCTGAGAAAGACTAATTGTGAAAATACTTTAGTCTTAAATCCACCAATGTATGAAATTTGGGCGATGCCATATCATTTATGGTAAAGTCTAGGTTGGTAAAATGATTAGCAAAGCAAATTCATTTATATTTAGCAATTTTAAGTTTCATCTTTCATTTTGAGCATTACTTAACCAACCAGATTAAGAAAACGTTGAATGAATTGCTTTCTAAGTATTTTTCAAGATTCTCGAAAATTTCTCTAACAATTGTAGATATCTCTTAACACGTTCAGTATTACTGATAATTTTCAATTGTTGATGAAATCGTCAAAAAAACAACTATTTTTTGTATTTTAGAGAAACCGTGACAGTTATTTATCAGTTATTTCCAGCCCACCATGCACTGAACAATATTGTACTAATGTGAACCAAAATTTCACTCCAACTGTAATTAATGATAATACATCGAGTATCAAATTACATGATACAACAGCTGATTTAATATTTTCAAATGTGAACTGTTCAACTGTTTCATATTGTACTATGATGACATCACCCATTACTAATACTAATGATACAATCATTACCAATCTTACTCCCCCAGTGAGTAGTAATACTAGTAATCCTAATAATAATAATAATGGCTCAGAAAGAGTGAAATCTTATCGATGCAACTTTGATGGTTGCACAAAAGCTTATTTCAAAAGTTCTCATCTTAAAGCTCATATCCGTGTTCATACAGGTAAGAGAGCTTCTAAAAATCTAATCGATTTTACATATTGTCGATATTCAGGTCTAAAACCTTCATTAATTTTTCACAAGTTTATTAATAAGATTAAAAACTTATATGTACCTAGGGTCAGTCGTGCCTGAACAAATGATATTAATGTTCTGTTTCACTGACTTCATATCTTAATGTTTAGTAGTGACTCATGAAGAATCCCTCTGTCTAATTCTCCAGCTTGTCAAATTAGAACAACAGGAAAACCAGCAAATTTACTCTGCACATTGACTTAAAAATTCACCTGATCATATACATGAATTAAATGATCAAGACGCACCATACATAAATAAGAAATTACATGTAACCAACTGGAACATTTAAGGTTCAAATTTTAAACAACAAGCTTTTAATTCATTTACAATAATTTGAGAAGATAATAGGACATGACTATAGTTAGTGATGCAAATGGAAGCTCTTAAAAAGATATCAGCTAGCCTCATCGTAACAAAAAACACAGAATATCTGTCTCGTCCCATTTTTGCACTAACATTCAACACTTAAGCCTCCACTTCGAATCTATGACATTCTATTTTGATTGCAAGTTCAATACTATGAAGTCCGTGAGTAGAAAATCTGTATTTCACATTTTCTAAATTCAGTCCACGATATAAATCCAACTATTCTCTCACATTATCAGTGAATAACGTCGTCATTATCAACTTATTTGACGATTCAAGTAATCTCTCCTCATTAGAACTAAAAGAGAGTCTATGTATGTGATGAATATATATACCATTAAATCACTACATTCAGAGTATCATAGCAGATTATTAAGACTGAATTTAAAAGTAATGTTTGGTGATTGAACGTAGTAGATAGAAAATCCTGGATCTAGTTTACATGCTAGCTGTCAGTCGTCAACAAGGTGCATTTGCAATCTTGATGGATCTGACACTCCATCTTTAACTCAATCCATATCACACAGCATTTTAATCTGAGGCTAGACAGCCTGAGTAGTCCTATTCACTCGAAGTAGTGTTCATATTTCAACTTAATCGATAGAATCGTATCTGAGAAACATGAAACGGGCACTATTAAGATCAATTAGCTATAAGCCCAGTCAATTTTTCGGTTCAATTATAAATGTGCATAGTTCAAGTTAACTTTTACTGCCCTCCACAAACCTATAATACTGAGTTTGAGTAATACGGGATAAACAAGTCATCAAGGATATTGAAATTAATTGATTGCGTGATATCGCTAACTTTCAATTTGTTTCATGTAAATTTATTTCGAGTAATGGTCTATATCGTAAGGCCAAAAGATCAACAAAATTTATCATTCAAAGAATGCATGAATCCATTCATGATATATTAATAAATTCACATTAATTGTAATCCTTCCTTTAGTAAAAGTATAATATGTACTGGCAACCTTAAGCCAACCAATCAGAATCAAAGTAACAGCTTATGTAATTTGCACAAAATTTAAAATGAAGTGGTGAATAACGTGTGTTATTATTAACGAAGTAATAATTTGCAATATTTGGTTCACTAAACGCTTAGAATCAATAAAAACATGTACTACGCATCCGAAAAATGAATTTATGATGGTGCTTAAGACAAGTAACAGAGCAAACCTCCTCCTAAGACAGGTTGTATGTTAAAGTACTTGATGCTATTCAATACGCAATTAGCGATAATTAACGTGTATCCTATTATTAACTAAGTAAAAGTTGGCAATATTTAATTTCTAAAATGTCTGAGATCAATAGAAATATTTATCGTACAACGATAAAGTGAATTTTAGATGGTATTTAAACCAACCTATGTGACATAACTCCTCCTAAGACAGATTGTATGTCAAAGTATTTGATGTGATTTAATACGTAGTCAAGAGTGTTTGGTTAAGCTAGATCATATTCTCCCGTTCTCACTCCTACTCGAAATCTCGACCCGATGATTGTCACATTTGCAAAAGAACGGTGGCAAAGTATTACATTCTAGCTGATATCAGTTCGTGTTGAAAACACTGATTTAATTAGTAAACCTAACTCAAAACTCCAATCTTCCTACATTATAACTGATGTCAGTTGATGACGAAACGTCCATGGAGTGATAACCACGAATCACAACACTAACCAAATCCTAATATGTGACGTTTTCACTGTACTACAAGTGATAATTTGATCTGTGAATGTTGGTTACTTAGTCCAAGCTATTATTTTATTGATATTTGATTGCTTTGTCTTGTTAATTGTTTTATGACTGGTGAGCGTTTCCTTATTGAGTGAAAAAAATTGTCGAACGTCGCCAGTATAGTACACTTCACCTTTCTTTTTATTTAATCTTATCTAGGTGAAAAACCATATATTTGTGATTGGAATCATTGTAATCGAAAATTTGCACGTTCCGATGAATTATCCCGTCATCGTAGAGCACATACAGGTGAACGTAATTTTATTTGTCAACGTTGTCCACGACGATTTACACGTAGTGATCATCTTAGTAAACATTTACGGCGACATAATTCTCCAATGACATTAAATAAATTTTTAAATAAAGTTAAATAAACTACTGACAAATCAATTTGTATATATATATATATATATATATATATATATATATATATATATATATATATATATTTGATGATCTTATAGTTAGTTTTTAGAAATCTCATTGAACTCTTTCTTTTCTATTTCTTATTTCTTAATTAGGCATAAATTTATATATCATATTGCATTATATTGTGTATTACAGATTATTCAGAGTTAATATTATTTATCATTTGTTTTAAATAGAATACATCAATTCATTTAATATTGTATACAGTTTACCGATATGTACTTTTGTTTCTTGTTTTTCTTATATATCCTTCTTGTTTTTAGGTATGGGGAAGGGTTGGTTTCAACAAAGAAAAACAACTCTATATATGTATATAGAAATATGTTTTCTTGTTGTATATCTTAAAATTCATGAAAACTTTTTATTTTATAATTGAATTTATTACCAATTCTGAAATGAACTCATATGGATCATAGAAAAGACTTACGTTGTTTTGTTTGTTTTCGTTTCCTTTTTTTTGTATCCATGTGTACCCTTTGTACGATTTCATCATAATTTTACTTTATATTAATTTGTATATCGAAATTAAATCGTCACATACTATACTGCTTTCAAAATATATTTGTATTTTCTAATTATGAATCAAAGATTATGAAGCTGATTACTATTATTATTATTATTTTCCTATTTTTGTTACTACTACTATTACTACCAGTAATAGGCTACATACTTTTCACCAGATATTTTTCTCTCTACGTTGTACCTTTTGTCGTGAGTTGCTACCATTATTCAGCTTAACTTATTCAATATATGTGAGAAAAGAGTTTTTATTTACTAATTAGTTCATACTCATTGAACAGTGATACTTATGTATTTCTTATTTCCTCTCTTTAATTCTTAATTTTTGATTGTTTTGAAATATAAAAAGAATTACAACATAATCGGAATGAGGAAAATTCATTATTAAAATATAAACCAGAGTGAAGTTAATTGTTTTAATTATCCATTAATGCTTTCATTGACATGTCTAATAATTCAACACTTAATCTACTAACTAATCGTTTACTAGTCCCCTAAAATCTTCGATACTAAAATCCTGAATGAAGGATAAAAGGCGTAAAGTACGAGAAGAAGCTTTACTTCAAAGGTTAGTTCTCATGTGAACAGTCAGATCATTTATCAGATTCTAGGATCGTTCAGAAAACACTCTAAGATTTGTCCAGTCATGACAACTCGTCGTATTCTAATGGATAGACTGTTCGTCGATTTATTCTTAACTTATTTGATGAATCCTCAAGAACTCCAAATATTTATAACACTGATTGTCTATATGGGTGAACGCAAAATAATAATCATAGTGTAGTGTTATTGATTTATTGATTACAAGTTTGTGGGCTGTACTTTGAATCACATGTTAATTGTGTGTAATGGCTATTGATATTGACGTGTAGCTCAAGATCGGTTAGGTGGGGATAGATTTCAACTGTGTAATTTAGCTTTCACATCCGGTCATATTTTGTGTGTGTGTTCCTATTCATTAATGTAAAACGTCTATAAAACTATGAGAAAGTTCTACGTAACTCTTAATGCAGTACAAGCTAGCCGTCATCATATTTTAAGTTTCGATCGGAACTCAAACAGTTCCTATATTGATTCGAACTGTTTCTAACTCGAATCAATAATTTAGAACCCTACCAGAAATAAACTTATTAACTCTGTGACTACATAACTCATGTAATCTATGGACTGAAGAGGGCTCGCATTTCACAACCCTCCAATCTGAATAATTGAGAGCTAGATGAGTTATTGTAAGTACTTTTATTATTTGAACTGACGTGGCTATATAAGTAAATCACGGGACCACGAATAATGAAGTCCAATAGTTACATATCTGTTATAGCCCAAAGCCGCTAATCAGAAGCAGCGAATTACCGATCGGACCAAGGACGCGTAAAACACGTGCGAGCAGCCTAGAGTCCTGATTGGTTCTGCTTTCCGCCTAGCCCAGGCGGTTAAGTCCAGAACACCAGTCTCAGCCTCTGCACTATGAATCCTTATATTTCAAACATATTGAGTTTATATACCAATCAAACAGACCACAACGTAGCATAAAATAGAAAACAACATTTGTACAAAATTTGGCCAAATGTGGCTGTGACAAATGTACATGGTCATAAGTTCATATTACTACATCTGCACGATAAGATGAATCTAGTAAGATGAGTAATAAAATAATTATAACAGCAACGGGAATTGAGGAAGATTAAACAGCATGCTTTGAGAAGATGGAGTGAAATAATATGTGCAAACTAATACTGAAACTCGATCTAAAAAATGGGAAGTGAAAGTATTTGCGTTATTTCCACCGATTCTGAGACATATTACCCAATATAGAAATAAAAATCTAGTGCCTAACACAAGGTCCAAATCTCTATGTGAACATCAACACGATTAAAATATACCCAGCTAAATAATCCCAAATGAAATGAAAATACACCTCCTGGTGTGTGCGATTGACGTCAACAGATATAAGTATTATGTATCATCAATTGAAAGTGGAATACCTAGCAGCAGAAAGTTGAGAAGCTTGCATAAAAGAAGAGAACGCGAACAGAGAGTGATTGGTATGTAAATGAAATAACAAATAGGTCTGAGACAATTGATGGATATTTTGTAAATTAAGTATTTACTGTATGGTTTTCAGATTTTACTAAGACGTTCTATAATTTTGTAATCAAATACATTCGATTGTCGCCACTTGTATTCTCGTTCACTACAATGACTAAATGATAATATTGAGAGAGTATACATAGGATGTACGTATGACAATAGGAACTGATTAATTTCAATTCTGGATATAAGGAGACGGAAACTTCAAACTTTTAAATAACGGTTTGACAGATCGACACTAGAAACATGAACAAACTCTTTTACTCAAAAATAAATATTTCACTTTCAGTATTTTTGTTATGGCGAGCTTCTGTTATACAATCATTTATCATAACATATTAACTCTTTCTTTAAAAAATAATGGTAAAAGTATACCATACTGACAACCTTGAACAAATTTTCACTCAGTAAGGAAACGCTCACTAGTCATAAAACAATTAACAAGACAAGGAAATGAAATATCAATAATAATGAATAATCAACACTCACATGTCAAATTATCACTTGTAGTTCAGAGAAAACGTCACGTTTACATACATAAATACATATTAGGAGTTGGGTTAGTGTTGTGATTCGGGGTTAGCACCACATAGACTTTTCGTCACCAACTGACATCAGTTGGAAGATTGGAGTTTTGAGTTAGGTTTACTAACATCGATGAGAATTTTCTTATTCATATTTCCACAATAATATTCTCTATTACCTGATTATTTGTCATTAACGTTGAAGTTTTATCATGTGTCAAACATCTAATATATTCGAGCTTATATTTGTTCTTATTCGTACTGAAAGATGCCCTATTATTTGTAAAACAGAACTTGCCATATACCAACTGGAAACATCAACACATAATCGCTTTTAATAAAGTTTTATCCACTAATCTTTGCTTGCCTCGCTCCAATTAAATCATCACATCAGTGTCATAAAATTGTTTGTTTAACCAATTAAATTATTTAGGAAAATGTCGAAAATAGACGTAAATCAGTAATACACTAACTTATTTTTATACAGAATAATACTGTGTCCCTGTTTATTAACCTAATTATCCCTCAATATTGGTATGTTTATTTCAAATCATAAACAACTGAGATATTCTTCTAATACGACACTGAGTCTAAGTGAACTAGATAGACTAGATATTGAATACATCACAATAACTCATTGTTGATAATCCATACGCAAATAACAGAGAAAAAAGACAGGAATTCCATAGGAGTTTTATCATTTATAACAATGTCGAAATGATAACAGAACAACATTGTTTGTACGGAAACAAATACTACGATGGGTCATGATGAGGAAAATATCAAACTGAAAGCTAGTACAATCAATCACGTAATACCATAAGTCAGTGGAAAAATGTGAATGGTAAAATGTTATGGCGAGCCTACTTTGTACGTTAGAAATATCATTTACTAATATAAATTAAATATTAGCACTACCTGGCATATACATATATAATGTATGTAAACGAAACATGGAACTCAATAACAATCATTTGCGAAAAAAACAACTAACAGTCATCTTGACCTTAGCTTATTCATTATTGATTCAGACCTTAACTATTCACTGTTGAAAAGAGCCATGTAACCATCAGTATTATGATCTTGTCTTTTATCCAGTTGATCAACTAATAAATAACTATTCTAATTATCTTAATACAGACTTACCCTCAATTTCCTATTTTCTTATATAATTTTACTTAAATAGATTATCTCTGTCAATTGAGTATCTAATTTCAGTATGAAATGGAGATAGTGTGATCGAAAATGAAATAAATATCCTTTTTATTAATTTCATCATAGATTGATAATAAGTAATTTGATTTTTTGAGCTGAAAAATCATTTTAATTTTTTAAATTAAAAAATAAACATAAATTAAGTTATATCTATGATGGATAGTGACTAGCAGTGGAATCCAGGACGCGCGTTTCATCCAAGTGAATTCGAATTCACCCCATTGCACAAGCAAGTGGCTATCAGGAGTGGATAACATGATGACGGTTGAAGCGAATGGTACTGGGTTCGAGTCCCAGAGTGAATATCAACTCTGAGATGCAGGTACATCCAGCTAACAAGTCCTAAATAGGACGAAACGTGCGTCAAACTGGACTCCACTGCTAGCCACTATCCAACATTGCTTAGAAATAGCTTGTGAATTAAGGTAATTTCAAAGCATACGCACAGTATGCACATATGCCAATAAGAGACTGATCAATTGCAGTCTTAAACCTCAATGGGAAGATACAAGCCAAACAATACCAAGTGAATTTAAGTTATATCTATGTATAAATCTATACCCGTTAAATAATTTAGTAACTGTAGGGACTCTACA